CTCTCTCTCTCTCTCTCTCTCTCTCTCTCTCTCTCTCTCTCTCTCTCCTGGAAAGTGTGCTCCATTCTACAAGAGATTTATTTAATCATATAGTTTAAATGATTTAATTTTTACAAGTATTAAAAGTCTTCCTGATTCATCTTCTTTCTTTCTCAGGAATTTCTTCTGTTTTTAACTAGTAACTTTGTTAAAATTCGTAGTTTTTTAAATTTTATGTTTTCTTTTGATCTTCCTAGTTTACTATAAAGAGAAAGGGCTTTCTCAAAGTCTAAGGGTACTGAAATAAACGGAAAATAGGTTTGTAAGGGAAAATAAATAGCACACTATGAAAACTGTAGAAGGGCTATGTGGTTCAAGCCTCAGTACCCTCAGCATAAGGAAAACGAAGACGGAACAGGAAACTGTAGAAATATTTTTCTATTTTATTTTTAATTTTAATTTTATTTTATTAGTTTATTCACTTTGTATCCCAGCTGTAGTCCCCTCCCCCATCACCTTCCAGTCCCACCCCCGCCCTCTTCTTCTTCTATGCTCCTCCCCCAGTCCAATGATAGGGAGGTCCTCCTCCACTTCCATCTGACCCTAGTCTATAAGGTCTCATCAAGACTGGCTTCATTGTCTTCCTCTTTGGACTGGGAAGAGTGCTGCCCCTCAGGGAAAGGTGATCAAAGAACCAGCCAATGAGTTCATGTCAGAGACGGTCCCTGTTCCTATTACTGGGGAAGCCTCTTGGACACTGAGCTGCCATGGGCTGCATCTGTGCAGGGGTTCTAGGTTGTCTCCTTGCATTGTCCTTAGTTGGAATATCAGTCTCAGAAAAGACCCCTGTGCTCCGATTTTTGGTTCTGTTGCTCTCCTTGTGGAGCTCCTGTTCCCTCCAGGTCTTTCTATCTCCCCCTTCTTTCATGACCATCCCTGCACTCTGCAAAAACAGTAGAAAATGATTTTTAGGAAAACGGAGCTTGTCTGATCCACAGACAATACCCTGGGACAGAAATGATAAAAAGAAAATACAGTAACACCCAAGGTTTTCTTTCAATGTCCTCTAGGAATCAGAACAGTTGTTGTCTTTAAAAAAGTATGTTATTGCATACTTTTAAGCCTGCTTTTCTATGAGTTAATCCTTGGTTAATGAGATTTTAGAGAGGGAGACCAAGTCATATAATCCAGATAGCACCCTGAGTCTGGTGGAAATATGCAAAGGAAGTGAGAAATAGCTGGGGTATGAAGTGCTCAGCGCTCAGAGGCTGGAGAGGAAAAATTGTGAGTTCTGGATCAGCCTGGCTACATAGAAAGAATCTGTCACATGTCAAAGTATCAGTAGTTAGGCTATTGTTTTCAAAGCCCCAACATTTCACTGAATAATTAATCTATATTAATCTGCTTTTTTGTGTTTTATTAACTTTTTATTGTTAACTATTTTTATTCTTTTATATTCTCATTTTAATTATAATAAAACATTATTTAAAAACTCTCACAATTTTACTGATTTTTTTCCACTGTAACATTTAATCATTAAAACAAAAACATTTATAAAACAGCTTATAGTCATTTTTGATAAATTGTGAACATTGGTTAAGCATCTTTAATTTTATTTCAAATATTTTTATTTGAAATACTTAAATAGTAAAATACAATAACTGATAAACATCCCAAATTAGTGTTTATTATTATTTTACAAAATTAGTTTGCTATTATTTGGTATTAAATATAAAATTATTTAGCATTTATATTATATTAAAAGAGAAAATGGAATTCTTACAGTGCTAACTGCATGAAGCCAAATGAATCAAACAACCCTCTTCTTGAACTGAATTTATCAATTTTTAGAGTATCCTAAATGTATCAATGGCTAATGTCATTAAAACTTACTTTATTTCTTCTATTAATTTTACTTCTATTGATAAAGAAGTGATACCTATATTTTCCTGATCTCTGTGATTCAATTTAAAACAAAAATGCTACAAAGAATATATTTTAGTAGAAAATAACCTATTGCATTTTGTGTGTCTATTTTAGTAATTGAACAAATTTTTCTGTGATTTCAAATCATTACATATTAATTCTGTATGATAATTTTAGCAAACATTGCATTTATTCATTTTGGTTTTTTGTGTATTGAAAAAGTAATTCAGCCGGACTGAACCCACCTTCAGTTCAGTCAAATTTCATGATAGGTTTATTTTGCCAGTTTTCTTATTCTCAATGTTGCAAATACTTTTATCAATTCAGGTTATTTATTAAATGGCTCTTTTACTATTTGATATTCCTATTTTTAAATATATTCCCCTCCCTCCACTAAACCTAGCCTCCTGAACCTCTTCTCTCCACCAGATTCACTCCCCTTCCTTTCTACTTCAGAAAAGAGAAGGCCTCTAAGTCAGGACAAAACAAGACACAATAAAGCAAAGCAAAAATCATCTTACCCAGGGTCCTCCATCTTGCTTAGCTTCTTTAGGTGCACAGATTTTAGTATGATTATCCTTTATTATATGCCTAATATCGACTTATAAGTGAGTATAGACCATGTGTGTCTTTCTGCTTCTGAGACACCTCACTCAATCCTCAGAATGGCAAATGGGATGGACATCAGAAGAGGGAAAAAAAACAGGCAACAGGACAGGGGCCTACCACAGAGGCTGTTGAAAGACTCTACCCAGCAAGGAGCTGAAGGAGATGCTGAGACTCATAGCCAAACTTTGGGCAGAGTGCAGGTAATCTTATGAAAGAAGGATTATATAGAAAGACCTGGAGGAGACAGGAGCTCCACAAGGAGACCAACAGAGCCAAAAAATCTGGGCACAGTGGTCTTTCCTGAGAATGATACTCCAACAAAGGACCATGCATGGAGGTAACCTAGAACCCTGCACAGATGTAGCCCATGGCAGCTCAGTCTCCAAGTGGGTACCCTAGTAAGGGGAACAGGTACTGTCTCTGACATGAACTGATTGGCCTGCTCTTTGATCACCTCCCCCTGTGGGGGAGCAGCCTTACCAGGCCACAGAGAAAGACAATGCAGCCAGTCCTGTTGAGACCTGATTGGCTAGGGTCAGATGGAAGAGGAGGAGGACCTTCCCTATCAGTGGACTTGGAGAGGGGCAGGAGAGGAGATGAGGGAGAGCGGGTGGGATTGGGAGGGGATGAAAGAGGGGGCTATAGCGGGGATACAGTGAATAAACTGTAATTTATTAAATAAATAAATAAATAAATAAATAAATAAATAAATAAATAAATAA